ATGGATGGCTGTGCAGTGTATGAAATTTGGGAGTGTCAGTTGCCATTTTTCCTCATGTGAGTCTCAGAGAAAGGTAGATTATAGTGGGCAAAAGAATAATGCAGAGGTACCAAGGAGGGGGAGAGAGAAAGAGAGAGAGAGAACATTTGGGGCTATCCCCAAGGTCTCACTATAGTCTCAAGGCTCAATTCTACCCTTGGACTTCATGAGATGTGCTCCTTCCAATAAATTCCCTTTTCTTTCTTTCTTTTTAAAAATTTCTTATAGCATAACCGTGTACATTAATACAATCATGGGGTACAGTGTGCTGTTTTTATATACATTTTGAAATACTCTCATCAAACTGGTTAACATAACCTTCATGTCATTTTCTCAGTTATTGAGTCAAGACATTCATACTCTGCTTTTAGAAAGATTCACTTGTACCCTTGTAAGATAAACCATAGAGGTGGCCCCACCAATTACCCCCCTCCCCCATCCACCCCCCTTACCTCCCCTCTCCCACCCCCCTTCCCCTATTTTAAGGCTATAATTAGGTTATGACATTCCTATGAAAGCTATGAATTAGTTTCAAAATAGGGCTGTGTACACTGGATACTTTTTCTTCCATTCTTGAGATACTTTGCTAAGAAGAACATTTTCTAATTCCATCCATAGAAACATGAAGGAGGTAAAGTCTCCATCTTTCTTAATGGCTGCATAGTATTCCATAGTGTACATATACCACAATTTATTGATCCATTCGTGGGTTGATGGGCATTTGGGCTTCTTCCATGACCTAGCAATTATGAATTGGGCTGCAATAAACATTCTGATACAAATATCTTTGTTGTAATTTGATTTTTGGTCTTCTGGATATATACTTAATAAAGAAATCCCTAATAAAGAAATCCCCTTTTCTTTCAGAGGGCCTTCATTCTTTGTTACTGAGGGCAGACTAAACATTTTAAGCTGTCCAAAATTTCTGAAGGAGTTTTTCTTTTCCCATCATACTTATGTCATGGTGATGATAAGCTAAACCTTCCAGTAATCCTTAATTTAAGTTAATGAACATACGTATACATACCTACTCTCAGCTGAGTTCTGTGCTCTCATAGTGTTAATAATCCTTGGAAAACACAAATATATCAGCAACTTAAAATATAATGACTGAGACAAGCACAGGATATTATAGAAGGCCAAAACTGGCATCACAATCCGTCAAGAAGTCTCACTGTTCACCTTCTTAACCCTTACCTTGTTGTTCAGTGTGGTGATTGGAGGAAACTCAGAGGGATGTCCAACCGTTTTACTTCTCTGCACCACATTGGAAAAAGAGAGTTGTCTTGGGCCACACCATAAATACACAAACACTAACAAAAGCTGATGAGCAAAGCAAAGGCTCTGTGCATAATTTTTGTGATATCTGACACCACAGATAAGTAAAAAAGTCCTCACATAACCCACAGGTGGCCCACGGGCTGATAGAGGAACTATTTCAATTTTCAAATTCTGAAACCAATAAAAGATTTTTTAAATCATCCATTTAGTTTTTTCCACAATATCTTCATACAAGTCCATAATTTTGCTATCTCCAGACATAGCCATGAAGATTTATTCAACATGGTTCTGGAACTTTCCAGAGTATGTAAGTACTCACAGGTTGGTTGTTTACAAAGACTTTTTCTTCTTAAGCTACTTTCTATCCCTCAAAGAACACATGCTTGGGTTGACAACCATTATTATAGAGAGCAAAGAAAGGGTAATTAAAGAACTCACTGGACCTTTGCTTGGGAATGAGGCAAGCCTCACTGCTCACTCTGTGCAAATTTCCACCTGCTGCACAACTGACCCATAGCTGTCTTCACTATGCAATGCGTGGAGTCTCCTTTCATTCAACCAGGGTCATAGAGCTAGATGGGGCCTTTGGAGCTGAATATCTTATGTGTCTCTCTTTGCCTTCTTAGAAACATTTCCTTCAGAATCAGAAAATTTCTCATAGAACTTTACTGTCTTGAGCTTGCTTGAAACTCGGTTTCCCTAAGGAATAGTTGGACAAGCAGTCATTGAATTCCTTGACCTCAGAAGTATTGCTGTCCTATGCAAGGCCAATTTAGAGTCTAATTTAGTTTAAAGTGGGGCCCAACTGCAGAGAAGTGAAAAGCATTCTTGCCATATCTCTAAAGGTCTAACCAAAAAAAAATCCCAGTTTATAACATAACATGGGAATATCAGAAAAGGGAACTATTTGGGTCACGGTTAGGTCTTCTAATAGCACATTTTTAAGGGAGAAAAAAAAAAAAAAAAGGAAAAAGAAAGAGACCCGTGCTGTGGTCGGTGTGGTCAGAGAGAAACTTGGACCAGGTCCTATTTCTTTTCTCCTGGGGATCCTGGAGAATAGGGGGTGGAGAGCAGGGAAGTCCCATTTTCCAAAATGTTGGGAAAGAATTTCTCATAGGCAGGTGACTGGATTTGTCCATGCCTTTTGGCAGGGGATCCAGGGTCTTTTGTGGTATGATTTCCGGGACAATGTTCTAATGAGGATTCTGGGTGGCCAGGAACAAGTTATTGAAACTAGCTGGAGGGAAGTGGGCTTCATTTCAAGGATATAAGAGGATCCCAAAAAACCTAATGTAGGAAAAAGTTTTCTGGACTTTTGGTTAGTAGGAATTTGGATTGACAGTTTGTATCAGCTGTGTCTCAGAAGTGTTCAGTGCTCCAGAGTTGGCCTCTCTCTACCCATGTGGGCAAGCCTCCTGTTTCTTTCAACACCTTCTCCAGCTTTCAGGTGACTTATAAGTGGCCATATCCAGTTTGGTAGACTATGGACTATGCCTCTGCAGCACCTAGTGCTCCCTGGAAGCCATCTCTATGTCTTATTCAGATCCAGAAGAAAAATCTGACCAGTCCCAACTCATCTAGCCAAGGTGAGTCATACAAGTCATAGACTTCTGGTATCAAATGACTGACAGCTTTTGAACCCAGGGACTATCACTTTTTTTTCCTTTTTTTCGAAACAGAGCCTAAAGCTGTCACCATAGGTAGAGTTCTGTGGCATCACAGCTCACAGCAACCTCCAACTCCTGGGCTTAAGCGATTCTCTTGCCTCAGCCTCCTGAGTAGCTGGGACTACAGGCGCCCACCACAATGCCTGGCTATTTTTTGTTGTAGTTGTCATTGTTGTTTGGCAGGCCCGGGCTGGGTTTGAACCCACCAGCTGCAGTGCATGTGGCTGGTGCCTTAGCTGCTTGAGCTACAGGCAGCAAACCGGCTATCACTTTTCAATCAACTGTTGTGGGAAAAAGAGAGAGGATTTTTATTTAACAATATCAAATGGCTTCTCTTAGCAGGCGTCCACAGAAAATGTTGCGTTCCACGTCTTCAGAATATCTTGAATAGCAGAAGACCTTTAGTAAGGAACTTAGACTGCTATGTCCAATTACTCAGGAGGCTTTGAATTTAAGTTTTACTGGGAGAGACTCGTCCAAACCAGTTTATACTATGAGGTGAATGATAAATTACTTTTTATCTGGACTTTTTAAGCATTCAGTCATTCCTTAATCAATTATTGAATGCCTAATATGGTTGCTTTGCTAGATTTTGGAACTACAGATGGATAGTTTTTGTAAGGGAAAGAGGAGGAAAGAAAAAAGTTTTAAAACTCTACCCTCTTGTAGGAAGAAAATAGAAGGAAAGGAAGAGTGTTATGAAGTGCAGAGAGGGATTAGACGAAATTAGATGGGGGCATCAAAGCTAGTTAATGGTGCCTGTCTTTAGAAGGCCCTAGTTCACCCGTCTGGCTGTAGCTTAGACTTAATGCCACTCAACATTGTAACACATAGCATGGCACCAGCACCTGCCAGTCAGACCCGACTCGAGCAGACTCTAAAGGCCTCTGTGGTGCCAAGTATCAACTCTTTAGTTTCAGGATTATAGGGGGGCAGAGCTGAGGAATTCCTAACCAGCAGTAGCACCTCCCACTTTACCAACTGGAACAGTGGCTGGAGCAGCGCTTATGGCACAATATGCCATCCTCCCCGGGACCAGGTGGTGACAGTTCTGGAGACTCAGGTGTGGCTTCTGTTGTGGAGGGCTTGAGTGCCCTGCCGATGAGGGTGTCTTCCACTCAGGAACGAATAGGGGGCTGTCATCCCAAGGACATCCCTCCACAAACGTCCCTTCCATTAATTATTGGTCAATAGAGTTTTAGGAGCTCCCACTGTCTAAACAGAGGAGGTTGTTTTGATTAAAGATTCAGTGCTTGCCGCCCCCACTTCCCCGGGCTGGATGTCCAGGAGGCATTCAGGAAGTGCCAGGACCCCAGAGCATCACAGAACTGGGAAGGTGACCTTGGGTAAAGGAGTGCCGCCCTCTCAGAGAGGGTAAGTGACTTGGCCAAGTTCACACAGCCAGTCACAGAGACAAGCAGCCCTTACCCGTGGTGGCTGCGGAAGAGGGCGACAATTCTTGCCAATCAGAGGCCAAGATGGCAGTGGGTGGCACGGGGGAGGGAGGCGCCTCCAAAGGGGAGAGGGACGCTGCATTCTTCGCGGCAGGGACGGTTTGTTTGTTCAGGTGGCACGGTCTAGGAGGACTTATTCGTGCTGAGTTCTCTTCCTCTCTCTGCCTGGGGATTCATGGTGTGGGTGGGAAGGCGCGCCCCTGCGGCTTTTGGGGCTCCTCTGCCCTGAACGGAAGGAAGAAATCAGGTACCTCCTCCTCGCCGCCCCCATGAGTCTGGGCCGCCCCAGGCTTCCCTGAGCAGGCCCGGGGGCTCTCCGGAGCGGGCTCCCCGCCCGGCGCGGTCTGGACGCCGGCCGGTCCCCAGGCTGTGGGCAGCACGCCGCGTGGGTCCGCCTCTGCCCATCGATCGATCTCCGCAACCTGGTCTGGCAGCGCCGCGCTCTGCTGACAGGGAGCTCCGCGGCGGCACAGTCCGCGCTGGGGAGGAGCAAGTGGAGCCGCAACCCTCCCAGGTGTCCAGACCGACTAGGGGGCGAGCAAGTGCCGAGCTGGGCCCCCCTCTCCCGGCACACGCCCTCCGCGCCGCGCGCTCTGGGGGGCGAGTGGCCTCGGACCTTGCCAATCAGCAGAGCTGTGCGACCCGTTTTCTCCCCGGTGCGTTAAACATCGGGAAGGAGCTGCTCAGATGGGGTCACCAGGCACCTTCTCCCTCTTTCCCCGAAGCCCGCAGGGTGAGCAGTAAGCCAACCCCAACCGGACGCTGCGCTCCTATAAATAGCACGCCTGTGCCGGCTTGGCGCTCTGAGGGCCGCGCGAGGAGAGAGAAAGTTGTGCACAGGGGACCGGTGGCGAGAGGAGAGGCAGGGGAGACCCCGCCGGAGGAGCTGCCCTGCACCCTGCGTCCAGCACCCTGGAACTGATCCCACGAACGCGCGCTTTCGGAGTGAGACGCCCGGCCAGCGGCTGCCGACCTCCCTATCTCTGAGTGACACCAGGTTTGGGAGAATTTTTGACCAAGCGAAAGCAGGAGTCGCCAGCGTCCTGGCCATGAACACAGCGGCGCGTTCTCCTCAGTCCTGGAAACACCCTCTGCCTCTGTAACTCGTTCGTACCGCAAGCCAGACTCGGACCGACGCCGGAGCCACTTGGCACCGCCGCGCTTGTGGTTTCTCTTGTGTTCCCTCTGTCTCTCCTGTCCTGTGGTTTATCTGGTGGAGCTTGGGTTTAGGGTGAGGATTTATTATTATTTTTTCCCTTGAGGTGTGAGCGTGAGGGTTGGGCGACTTTTAGATGTCTAGGTATAAGGGTGGGCGCGGGGCCCCGAGGCAGGGCTGATTCTTGGGCAGAGGAGGGTAGGGTAGGGGGTTCTGCATGAGCTCCTTAAAGGACAAAGGTAGCAGAGCCCACGATAGAGCTCGAGGGGAGACTTTGACTTCAAACCACAGAATTGGTGGAAGTGTGCGCGCCACCGCGGTCGTGCCCGCAACGCTGTCGACCTAGCCACTGGCGAAACCCCGAGCTCCGGGATCCCAGGGTAGGAGGCCAAGCCGGCGAGCAGAAGCGCCAGCCGCTGCGGCTGCCCAAGCGGCTCACCATGGGCTCCAGGCGCCGGGCGCTGTCCGTGGTGCCGGCCGTTCTGCTGGTCCTCACGCTGCCGGGGCTGCCCGTCTGGGCGCAGAACGACACGGAGCCCATCGTACTGGAGGGCAAGTGTCTGGTGGTATGCGACTCGAACCCGGCAACAGACTCCAAAGGCTCCTCTTCCTCCCCTCTGGGGATATCGGTCCGGGCCGCCAACTCCAAGGTCGCCTTCTCGGCGGTGCGGAGCACCAACCACGAGCCATCCGAGATGAGCAACAAGACGCGCATCATTTACTTTGATCAGGTCAGACCCGGAGGGGCGCGCGAGGCACCCAGGGGTGGGCAGTCTCCAGGCACCCGCCGCCGGGCGAGGCTGCGTGCTCAGGCTAGGCTGGTCTGGTCCAACTGGGCAATGGAGGGGGTCATTTCAGCGCTCTTCTCCCCAAATATGTCTGGGCCTGAGACGTCCAACTTCTTGCCCACAATCTCACCCCTGCCGGCCCCCATTTCTTCCTGGTCTCGAAAGAGGCTGCTGGGGCGGTGGGAGAGAGGCTGGGAGCTCAGAGGCGGCAGCGACAGCTCGGATAAGTTTAACAGCAACAGGTCGGCAGGGTGAGAATTTATTATTCTGAACTGGAGGGAATCTGGTCCCTGGACATGGCGATCTCTTGGTTAGAGCTCCGCTCCCTGGGTCAGCCTCTTCTGCGGGTGTTGCCGAGGCTGTTTCTGTGGCTCTCTGGATAAATTTTGATTTGTTTCTCCCAGGTAGAAAAGCCCCCGGGTCTGCAGCGAGCTCCTGGTCTCCACACTCTCCGCAGAGAGCTGGCAGGGGGCCGCAGAGGGCGGGGCGGGGGCCAGGGATCAGATCGCCCCTCTGGGTCCGCGGCCAGGGTCCCCAAACACGTTCCGACGGCGCTGCAGCAGCTGCCTTGGAGTAAGCAGAAAGCTTACTTAGAGAAAAGTTGCGGAGGAGGGAGCGAAAGGAATTTGGCAGCTGCGCTGAGCTCCCGTAGGGAAGGGAAGCGCTGGGGAGCTGGTTCTCCCTTTCCGGGCTCCTGGCCTTTCAGAGAATTGCAAACTGCTGAGGGAAGACAGACCGAGGCTGAGGGTAGGGGATGGAGGAGGAACTGAGGAAAACTGGCTACTCTTTAGCCACCCGGTGCTCTGTGGTTCAGCACGATGAGAAACTCCAGGACGTTAACTTACCTCCAGCAAGGAAGGGATCTGGAGGAAGAAAACCGACTCTAGAGTTTGAATTTGAACCCCACAGAACTCAGAGTCTGTTAAAATTCTCGGTCCACTCTTGGCAGTTGTGTGCAGAGTCACAGAGAGCAGCAGCACAGGTGAGAGGCCATCACAGGAAGGGCCAGGGAGGCCATGAGGTGACACCTTCACCCTTTGCTTCATTTTTTCTAAGTCATGCACTCTGCAGATGGCCAAAGACAGAGCCTGTCTTCCTGGGGGCTTCCTACTTTATGGCCATCGTTTTCAAAGAACCAAGCAGCTGCATTTGGTGTTTGGGTGCAGTTTTTTCCATCTTGATGGAAATGAAGTCCAGGACCCCTCCTGGTTTGGGTTCAGTGCATTAATTAAATGCTCGGATACGGTGGACAGTGCACTATTCTCTGTACGGGGTGTTCTTTTCCATGACCTTTCTGTCAATTAGGAGAGGGAAAGGGTTTGTTCTTTGGTTCAGGGAGCCATGCGTCTTAGAGAAACAAGACACATTTGGGGATGAATCTTGATGTGCCTGGATGGTCCAATTACAATGTAGAGTCAACATCCAGCTTTCTGTGTAGTCAACACTAATCATCCACTGCCCTTGTTGCTAATGAATTACGCTACTTGTATCTGAAACAGAAAGTCCCAGCTGAACACCTCACACTGTTTCCGAGGTGCTTAAACAACATTCTCTGTAAAGCCTGTGTTGGGGTTACTGCACATCTGGTGACTTGCTGAAAGATCATCTATCATCGGGTTAGGGAAAAGAAATCTGATGCTTACGTGGAAGACTCTGAGATCTCACAATACAATTCTACACTGGACATGAATTTAAATCAGGTGTTGAGCATGGTACATACATCTACCTGCCACTATGTTCTGGTGGGTTGCTCAGAGGTAATAGTACATATTTGAGGGAATTATGCAAGAGGCTTGAAAATGTGTTCATATCGGCAAGAATGCAGTCTTTAAAAGACGTAGTAGCAGATTGTCATTGGTACATGGGAGATGTATCTTTTTAAGGACATGGGATTTTTTTGAATGCTACTTATAGATTTATTTTTTGGAGAGAAATGGAAGAAATCCCATATTTTGCCATTCTCTCCCCTCCCCACGGTCTCTCTCTCTTTCTCATAGGAAGGGACTTACCTATGTAAGTCCCACATTTAGTGTAAGAGGTCACTTACTGACGTTCGCAGTTAATTTCAAAACCAATAGAATCAGGCTGAACATGTTGGAATGTAAAATGCATTGTTGCTTTCTTTAGAAATGGTTCCTAATTTCACTCTTGAGCCTTGACCTTAAAATAAAGAGCAGGTAGTTGATAGCAGGGAAACAAATACCCCTGGGAGAAACAGGGGAAAGCCACCGACTTCATAGACTGTCCTTAGCCGTGCTCTACTCTTTGGCAGCCTGCAAGGGCTGACTCATTGCCAGATTATTATGATTAAGGCCTAGATGGCACAGGAGGGCATAATAGTGGCCATGGATCTTAGGAGAGGCCCGACGGAGGCTCAGGGAAGGGACAGGCATCAACATCACTTTGTGTACCAACTGTTCGGTGTCAAGGATTATGTGACACAGTGGAGGGGATGCCCATGGCTCTGTGGGATGTGTCCAGGGATGACTGCAGCAAGTCCACAGATAATGATTGGCCGGCTTGGCGACGTCACCCCTGGACACTGCAAAGGCTGGTGGAGGGTAGAAACGTAAACACGTGGCGGCTGCCTTTTGTCTGACTTTTAAGGTAAAGCTAATATTTATAAGATCTCACATGTTGCTTAGATGTTTCTAGGTCCTCGCTAGAAACTGAGACATGCATACAAAGCAGTAACTTTATATTTTCTCGTATTATTTAAAAGACATAAGGATCTTCCAACACACAGTCTATTTTCCAAACCAGTTAAGAGAAAAGCAATAGAACTAGATGTTTTATTCTCCAGGGTTTCTGAAACTCGTTGTTAAGGCAGAAGAAAAGAAAGGAGGGAAGAAGGACGAGAAGAGGGAGCGAGGAAGCAAACTTATTTTACTCAGAGAAGAAAATATAATAACGTGCTGTGTTTTTTTTTATTATTTTTATTTGTAGATCCTAGTAAATGTGGGTAATTTTTTCACACTGGAGTCTGTCTTTGTAGCACCGAGAAAAGGAATTTACAGTTTCAGTTTTCATGTCATTAAAGTCTACCAGAGCCAAACAATCCAGGTATGTGTTCTGACCCATTCCATCTCTACTCTTAACCAGCTGTGTTTATCTTTGGTGGGTTACCTATTTATCTAAAGATTCTTTTTTTCATATAAACATACATCTTTCTTGTTCATTCTGAAAACAAATAATTTCTACTTTTATAACCCCTAGTAAGGTATATGACAAAACGCATAGAGAAAAAGAACCTTCGTAACACCCAAAGCTTTTAAAAGCATGGTTCGGTAAACGTTTAGTGACATCTCTTTATAAGATCATGATTTTATTTCACGCATGTGTAGACATTATTTGAACTTGCAAGGAAAAAAAAAACTTGTATGACTAAAAGAGCTTTATCAAAGTATACACTAAACAAAACAATTTTCCTATTACTTCTAAAAAATCATGAGGTACAGTTGACTAGTAGGAAAAAAAATCTATGGAGGAACAACTGTTCAATATACTTTTTTCAAAGGATGTGCCATGCTTATACTTCCATTTAGCTTCGGTTACTCTGGTACTAGTGAATTCTTGCCAAATGCAATTCTACAGGTAACAATGTATTTTGTCTTATGCTTTCTGGGATAATGGACTTGACTTTACACACAAAGGCAACAATAGAGTTAATTCCTGTAATAGTCAAGTATGCTCATACCCAGTGACACCAGTACATGTCTGTGGGCTTCTAGGATTGCTTTTCACGTTGTGCTCTATATTTATATTGTACATTAGGTCTATGCAAATGATACTTACTCATCTATCCTTTTACACATCCTGGTATATGGATAAATTAATCGGCGTCAGATTTAATTTGCTTAAATCATTCCTTTTATTCTAAAAAAAAAGAATACATCGTGGACAAACTTAACGTCTATGGGAAACCTTTGTCCAAGGCCCACTGTTTAGTAATTATGTAATGTTTGACACAGTGCATTAAAAATTGCAATACAGAAAAAAGTTAATACAGTTTGGAGTTGATGCTGTGCTAATTATCCATCATTAAAACCTCCACTAGTGGAGGTGATTATTATTTTTAGTACACATTTCTTATCAGAGAAAACGGAAAAAGAAATCAACACACACACACACACACACACACACGTAGTTCATTATTTCAAATGATTTTCGGCACTATGCATGTTACATTGTCACAGAAACCTGAATGGATGTGGGTAGAATCTGGCTGTATCTGTGTTTCTCAGGTCCCTGGGTACAGTGTTTCTTTTTATGAACACACTGGCATGCTACAAGCCTGCTCTGTCACCAAAAGAGTGTTGTTGGGTGCAAGGCATAAGGAAGCAGTAAGTTTAATTTATGTGCTGAAGGGAAACCAGTTTTCACATGGCTTGGTTTTACCCTGGGATGGTATTCTTTCTTAGGAATTTAAGGAAATTCCTGTGAGAATTTTTTTTTTTTTTTAAATAAATCAGCTCATCAGACCTACAAACTATGGCCCCCACAACGGGCTAATTTGAAAATCAGGAGATGTACTCTTGAACATCAGGTATCTTACCAAGGTCTGTTGTCTTTGACATTATTTTCCCTGGTAGATGTTTCAACTTTAAACGGAGCTGTTTAGTGATTTTTTTTTTCTTCTAGGTTAACCTGATGTTAAATGGAAAACCAGTCATATCCGCCTTTGCTGGGGACAAAGATGTTACTCGAGAGGCTGCCACGAACGGAGTCCTCCTCTACCTAGATAAAGAGGATAAGGTTTACCTAAAACTGGAGAAAGGTAATTTGGTCGGAGGCTGGCAGTATTCCACGTTCTCCGGCTTTCTGGTGTTCCCTCTATAGAATTTGATTTCTGCGTGATGTTGATCCAGGCGAGGGGAGGCCCAGCCCTGAGTTACTGGAAGATCACTTTTTCATCATTGGATTGATATCTTTTATGAGTTGCTCATGGGTGAACATGGATTCTCTTTAAGGATTCTAGACCTGTCCGAACCAATATGAAGTCTCACAGATTCTTTGTGTGTGTACGTGTTTCAGTATATTTGGATTGGGACTCAAAGCCGATAAGAGCTATTTATCCTTCAATGTAACAGTCAAAAAGCTATCTGCAAGGTTCATTTTTAATTTAATATCCTGGGATTACGGATTTTTTTTTTTTTTGAAGATGTGGAATTTTTAAAAAAAATTTTTCGGTTTATTTTTTAAAGACTGGAAACCAGGTCTAAGAATGAGAAAACTCTGAAGTTCTGACTTCAATCAGCAGTTAGTGTGATACCGCCAAAGAGCTGTAGACTGTGTTGATAAATTGACGACCTTTGTTTTTGTTCCTTGGAAATTTGTTTGTTTTGTTCTCTGAAGGTAACTGGGAATTGCTTTTCAGTGATGGGTATTGTGTTTTCTCTACAAATAAGGTAATGGATGGCTTGCCCCCAAATTTACCTTGACCGTGATGAGATCATCTCCATGACTTCCCTCAGAAAGAAAAAGAAGCTTCATAGTTGTATTTATTTTAATTATAAATGTGAAAGAGTCATATTTTCCAAATTATATTTTCTAATAGGAGAAATAAATCATAAATCTGACAGGAGAAAAGTTGCTTACCAGAATTCTAAGTGTTCGATCCCCAAACCTTGGCAAAACAGCCCTCCTGTGAGGGAAATCGTATACTGTGTTGCTCAACTTTAATTAACATGATTGATAATAACCACGTTATTAAAAACCTAAGGGATATTTTTTTCTTGGACGTGACCACTTTATTAACTGGTGGTGAGATGTTCTTGTTTTTAATTATACCTATTTTTCAAACCTTATGTTGTATTTGAAGTATCATCTGGTTTTGCCTTAACTCCTTAAATTGTATATATTTATCTGTTTAGCTAATATTAAATTCAAATATCCCATATCTAAATTTAGTGCAATATCTTATTTTGTCTTTTGTATAGGTCATATGAATTCATGAAATTATTTATGTCTCTGTTATAGAATAAAGGTTCGTATATGTTAGTTGAATTGTTTTTTCCTTTTGGGTTGGAAATATGTATTCTATTTCATTTATTTCCTCCTCCTTCCTTCCTTCCTTCCCTCCCTCCTTTCCTTTTTTCCTCTTATTTCTTTTTTCCTGGAGTTTAAGCAAAGCTTTCTGAATTTTCAGGTCCTATCCTGTGAATTGGTATAGGAAATCTTAACTGTGTTTAATCTGCCCAAATTCAGGAGTTGCAAGAGAATCAATGAACTGAGCAAACTTCTCTTTCAGAAGGACTCATTGATAGGAAGTCAGGTTTAAAAGGGTCCCCAAAACACTACGAGGGTGCTCAGTGTACGAATGAGTGAGGAGGAACATAAAGACCAATATTTTCTTTTCTTTTTTCTTTTTTTTTTGAGATAGAGTTTCATTACGTCACCCTGAGTAGAGTGCGGTGGCATCACAGCTCACAGCAACCTCAAACTCTTGGACTTAAGCAATTGATTCTCTTGCTTCAGCCTCCCAAGTAGCTAGGACTATGGGTGCATTCCACAACATCTGGCTATTTTTTGTTGAGTTGTCATTGTTGTTTAGCAGGCTCCAGCTGGGTGCAAACTCTCCTGCCTTGGTTATATGGCCGGCGCCCTAATCACTGAGCTATGGGTGCTGAGCCAATATCTTCAAACTGAAGACTTTGGGGAAAAGCACTGCCCTTTTCTCAACACTGAAAGACAAACAGAAGATCATAGGCCTTCTTTTTTTTTTTTTTTTTTTGAGAAATTATTATTACACCTGCCTTGTCTAGAAAATTGGCTCAATTTGCTGGTTTAAAGTCAACGAGGACAATTGGGGTGGGGGTTGTAGCTAGTGGCAGCAAGGAAGGTATTACAGGGAGACATCTGGGCACATCTTCCAGTATAACTGTGAACAGTCACCAAGTCAAAATATTCATCCATCACTTGGAAGACTCTCCTCCTTCCCCCCAAAGAATCATCTGGAGATGTTGGGAGTGTATCTCCAGTGTTTGGGTTGGCAAATTATCCCTCAGCTGACTTTCTAGTGATAACATTTCCTCCCTCGTGATTCTGTAATATAAAAAGTATTTCACAGAGGGACTGAATAAAGGAGGCTGTCATCTAAATGTGGGTGGCATCTCCTGTGCAGGTCCCAGCCCCATCACAGGCTTTCACCTGGCTCCTTGTGCTCAGAGTTTGTGCCTTTACCTTGCCACAGGGTGAATCATTCTTAGTAAGTACACCGGCCCTCTGTATCCCCAGATTCTATATCCATAGGTTTAACCGAGGATCAAAAATATCCAGAAAACAACTAATGAAAATAACTGCACAACAACAAAAAATAATACAAATGAAAAAACAGTACAGGATCACAACCATTTACATAGGATGTATGTTGTATTTGGTATTGTAAGTAATCTAGAGATGATTTAAAGTACACAGGAGGATGTGCATAGGTGATATGCAAATTCTGGGACATTTTATGTAAGGAGCTTGAGCATCTGCAGATTGTAGTACACACTAAGGGGTTTTGGAACCAATCCCGCTGGATACCAAGGGTCAACTGAGTAGGACTAGTCATTGTTTTGGCAAAATGGCTTAAGAGTACTGGAATTAACACCCATTACGGAGCAGAGACATTTAGGTCATTATCAAAACAGATCAATGTAGAAATATTTTTTTTGCTTTGGGACCTTTTTTCTTTAGTTTTTCTGAACATAAGAGAACATTAGCAAAGGGCTTGACTTTAATTCCTAAGCTCTAGCATACATAATTTGAAATGCAAAATCTGCTTGAGACCTTCAAGAGAAAATCTATTTGAAAGACACTGCTACAAATAATGTTGCAATTTCATGATTTCACCTGGATTTAAATAAACTAATGTCAACAACTGTTACAAAGACATTCACGGAAAAGGCCAAACATGGAGGCTGTGGGCATCAGCGGTGGGAGGGCACCTGCAGTGACGGGTCCCAAGTGGAGAGACAGAGGCAGAACAAGAGCCTTGGCTTACATAAAGCTACTCATGAAATGAAAACACTTGTATCCCCTCAATATTTTGAAATTAATAAAACAAAAATGAGAGTGTTAGATACTCATCCTAAGCTGGTTCTTGAAAGTAAGAACCACTCCCCGACATAGTGTCTGGGAAGATGAGATTGAATAGAAAGAACAAACGCTACAAGGGACAAAATGATGTAGCCAGAAAAGCACAGGTTTGGGACAGACCTCGGACAGACTCTGACAAGCTTCCTTTGCCAGCTCCGTGACCTTGGGCAGATTTATTCACCTCTGGGAGCTTTAGTTGTTTTATCCGGAAGCAACAAATAGTTGGTTGTAAACCAACAAATAGTTCACAAATGACACGTGAAGTGCACACAGTGGGAGCTCCATAAAGGGCCTACTGTGATGACAAAAATTTAAAGACTCTGACACGGGGTGAGGCAGCCAGTGCAGCCGCAGGGGGATACTAAGATTGGCATGAGGATGGGAAGAAAAACTGAGTCTAAGTGCTACAGTCTGAAGGGAGGGGGGCAGCAGCGGGGGCAGAAATACTTCTAGAAATGGAGCCAGATGCTCCTTGCATATTCTATGGCTTCAAAATAGTTTTCAGAAATCGCTAGGTCCACAAAAATGCTAATTGAACACAGTATTTGCATCGGCCCTGTCCACATTCATCAGTGCCAGCACCAGCCCTTCCGACATGGTCCCTACCTACTTTGACTGTTCCGTGATCTATTGATCAACAAATGCAAGCAATTGCCTTTAGCAAGCAGTTTCCTTCGGACAGAAGTTCGTGAAAACAAAACTAGGGGAAATAAAGAGCTTGTGTTGTGTGTAGGAGCTCATGGACTCTGACCGCTTTGGGGGGATTCCTATCATCCCAGATCCTGTTGGACTCAAATGATCTAATTAAAGTTTATTTTTAATTTTTTTTTTTAACTTAAAGTTCTTCCCCTAGCCCCTTTTTTCAGGTTTCTGGCAACTGGATAGCTACGTGTTTTCTTTTAGCCTCTACTTTTTAGCATGTTACTTCTTTAAATCTTGAAATAAACATCTTCTACTAACATCTGTTAATTTATCCTGATAATGGTCGTGTGCTTTGCAAGGTACCGAGTGGATGGAAGAGGTAACATCTCCCTTTTTCAAATCTCCCTAAATATCAAGCAAAACTTGAGGTTACACCTGGAGCAATAGAGGTCCCAACGTGTGGTTCTACCTTCCTCCGACCGGGGTGCTGGGTTTTATTATCTAAACTACTTGTCCTTTGGGTATTCCAAGGTTCCCAAATGGGTTGACCTATGACCATGAGAAGTGATGACAATAGAGAAAGGGAAGGTGCATAATATCTGTTCACATGCGGAACTGTGGGCCTAACAGTGCCGAACTCCTGTCCTACATGTTTCCTTTGGTAGAGGGTTTGGGATTTAAGAAGATGGCTTGGCTTGGCGCCTGTGGCTCAAGTGGCTAAGGCACCAGCCACATACACCCAAGGTGGCGGGTTTGAATCCAGCCTGGCCTGCCAAACAACAATGATGGCTGCAACCAAAAAATAGCCAGGCGTTGTAGCAGGCGCCTGTGGTCCCAGCTACTTGGGAGGCTGAGGCAGGAGACTCACTTGAGCCCGGGAGTTGGAGGTTGCTGTGAGCTGTGATGCCACGGCACTCTACCCAGGGGGACAGCTTGAGGCTCTGTCTCAAAAAAAAAAAAAAGAAGATGGCTTCTAACTAGGTCGCCTTTTCTCTATCCTCTAATACAGGCCTGCCTTTAATATGGGTTTCAAATATCTTAGAATCAAAATGATGCGGGGTTGGTTTTTTTTTTTTTGCCACCTCTGACCTTTCTAACTTGGTCCTGAAGTTCTCCTGTGTCAGCTTCTCAAATTAATGTGCATAAGAATCACCTAGAAGTCTCAATAAAATGCTGATTCTAATACAGTAGGCCTGGGGTGGAAAGCTCGCAAGTGACCTGGACACCACCCGTTCGGTGGAGAAGACACCATCACTGTTTCTTTTTCTTTCTTTCTTTTTTGTTAAAGACAGAGTCTCACTTTATTGCCCTCAGTAGAGTGCCGTGGCATCAGAGCTCACAGCAACCTCCAGCTCCTGGGCTTAGGTGATTCTCTTACCTCAGCCTCCTGAGAAGCTGGGCCTACGGGCGTCGGTCACAACACCTGACTATTTTTTGGTTGCAGTTCGTTGGGGCTGGGTTCGAACCTGCCATCCTCCATATATGAGGCTGGGGCCCTACCCTCTGAGCCACAGGCGCCGCCCTCCAGCACTGTTTCTTTTCTTAAAGTCTTGTTGCTCAAAGGGTGGTCTGGGGACCAGTAGCATCATTTCCCCTGGGGGTTGTTTGGAACCGCAGGTAGAGTTTAGATTCCCTGTGACCTGCTGAATCTAAGTCTGCGTTTCAACCTTCTCTGCTGCCCCCTCTGACTCTCAGGCATTGAAAAAATTATAAAGCTCTGTCTTTAAGTGAAACTCAGAGACCACCTGCACCAGAATCACCTGTGTTGGGCTTCACGCAAGCAGCTGCCGTTTAACAGGCTCCCGTGATTCTTATAACCTAGGTACACACAGGTGCAGGCCGTTTTCTTTGCAGTGACCCAGGAATACAGGTGCTTCTAATGTCTGTCCTATTTTAAACTCAGCCAGCCAAAGGCAATTTAGCCTGAGGCTTTAATGCCAGTAAGCACGAGGGGTTTTTTCACTGTGTGATGAGCAAAGGCTCGAGGGAATCTTGCCGCTCTCGGAGGAAGGACTGCAGGAAGACGTGAGAAACCCTGGCACAAAAATAAAGGTAAGTCGCCCACGGAGAATGGACGTCTGGGGAAGAGAGAAACCCTTACTGACGTTCCTCATTTCATCAGTGTTTGTTCCCAAATGAAGATGCGGTTACGTCTTGGTTTTGTTTGTAATTGGAGTGCTCCTTGGGGATTGCAATACTTCTATCTAAGCACTCCTGGCATTTGACCTCAGAAGGCGTTATTGAGTTGACTAAAGAGAGTGTGTGTGTGTGAG